GCTTCGAAGCCCGGACCCTCCTTACTCTCCTTGTCCTTCGTCCTCCATCTCCATCTTTCTTCAGACCCTCCGGTCGACATGCTGGACCTTCATAGCTTGATGCAGATCGTTCCTCAAGAACGGCTTTGAATAGATCCTTCAGTTCACCCCTGGAGATGCACTGATCAGAGGTAAGGCGAGGACTTCCTGGAGGAGTATGCGCTTCAGGGTAAGGGAAGGAAGCAGCAACTGAACACTTGTTGGAAGGCATTGTTCGAGACCAATTGGTATGATTGTAAGTGTTTCTCGTTGACAGAATGAGACTGAAAGTAGAGCTGTACAGTGCGTGAGAATTGTACTGATGGATTGCAAGGACGATTCACAGAGGGAACTTTGCCTCCTTTTATGCCCATCAAGGAGCACCCTTGCCGCAGGGAATAACGCATTTTCCTTTTGCTATTTCCCCTCATGATATTCCTCATGAGATGCATTTCATAGAACTTGGCCATAATGAGGTTCCTCCCTATCACCCTTCTCCGTCACCCCTTGGAAGGCGCTAGTACGAAAATTGAAAATTGAATGGTACCTTACCATTCGAGGAGCACTTTGAGACTTTGAGTGGTCACCCTCGGAATATTCGGCTTCCGCGCGCGACGTGGCATCGTCACATGGGGTTCCATACGTTAGTATTTAATCGCATGTAGTCGCACGCGGTCGCATGCTCCTATTTCTCCTTTCTCCCCTTTCCCAGTGCGATCAGGAGTTACTCCGGTTACTCCTAAAAATGGAAGCGGATATCTCAATAAAGCAAATAACGCAAACTTATTCCCTGTTTTATGAGGATGAGCGTGAGTTGACTGACGAGGAGAATGAGTCGATTCGCTTGTGTTGTGATTTGTTTCGTCATATCACTACGTCAACAGAGCCTCTCTCAACATCCCAACAATATAGGAGGATTAGAGCCCGCAACTTGCTTACAGAGGTGTATCTGAAAGTTGGGGCCGAAGTATTTTTGCTGTGCATGCTGACGTGGTCTATCACGGCATTGGCAAGGTTTGATTCAAAGATCGTTCTTCCAAAGTTTCTCCAATGGTGGAAGAGCACTCCTACGAAGGAAGGCCTAAAACGTACCGCTGATAAAATCTGCAACGACTATGGGATTAAGAAGCTAGTCAAACAAGTGAAAACGTTTTCTGGAAGTATGCATGTATTCTTTAACGGGGTCTGTTCTGTTCGGATACTAAGCTGATAAATTTCTGCAGGGTCCAGTACCAGAAGACGTACACGACTACTGAAGAACCAAGTCAGCAAAAGTGTCGACCAAGACCAGCCTGACCGAGCCGAGCATAAGGATGGCACATCGGTTGACGGATCCTCATCCGATGCCCATCCACAGACCTACGAGGGCCAAAGTCATGGCCCTGTGGTATTGAAGGTTGATGACATACCAGAGTTGCAAATATCTCTTCTATCAGACCAGCACCCACAATCAGTTTTCGACCTCCAAATTGTACATCTCATGGCGTTCCTCCAACAATATCACCCAACATCTTCCAACCCAGAACAGCTTTCAAGGATTCTCAGTTTATTTGAGGGGTACCAGTTCATCTGTCCGCACATACAGCTAGTTTATCCGTGGTACGGCTCTGTCCCCTCAATCGATATCAAGATAGACTCCAAAATCGGCTGGAGCGCAAAGGTGCAGCTATCTCACAAATTGGCGGAAGAACTGATTGAATACATTCAAAACCTCATGCGTGTCGACGTCGGAAACGGAGGACATAGGGATTCCCAACAAGACTAAGTTTCTCCCCTGATTTGGCCGCGACAAGGACTTTTCCGGTTAGTCTGCTAGTCAGAGTGTATTTAGAAGGGTCACCATTGACTCTAGCGACCCCTCCAGGTGGCCGATTTTGAAGAAGAACTGCGCGCACGTCCGGGTTTGACTCGAATCCGTTCACTATCTCCCATTCCTGGTCTAGGATAACATCTTCTCCAGTCTTTATTTAGTTAGTAGAATTTTTTGTTGGAGACGTTTGAGCAGTTCATACAATGAGTTTTGCCTTTTGTTCGAGTTTCTCTCGATCGTCGATAATGTCATCGACTGAAATTCCAGGATCTTCAACTTCTGTCACGTTCGGCATATGTGTGAGTTCGGGAGTTTGGATCTGGAGCCGAGTGAATGGAAGAACGTGATGGACAAGAGCAGCGGCGAGGAGCACGAGAAATTAGAAAAAAAAAAGTCGTCTTTCTTGGGCTTGACTTAACAGAATATGAGTCTGTAAGTAGGTACATATGGCGAAGAGTTTCAGGTTAGATCCTTTTCGTAGTGATGGAATCGGAATTTGGGCATCACTTAGTGATTTCATTCGGGAAGGTCCTCACACTAACTCTTCCGCGGGGCTGAGTCTGGTGACTCGAAAGCGGCTGCGGGGCATTGGTAGCAACCCCTACAGTTCAGACGGTGCATTCAAGGTCACGAAAATCCAAAGTCATAGAAAAGTTGACTTTTACTGAGACTGTTAATGAAACTTCCAAAATGAATAACTAAAAAATCCAAAATCCACTGCAACAGATTGTATCAGACTTCGTCTCTGATTTTTCGGGATGTGTAATTTTCCGAGTTGCGCGGCGTCGCATTCATTCTCAATAAGTCGCGTAAAGTTGCATCAAATCGCACAGTTAGCCCCGCATTCACGCGGTTTCGGGAGATATGCCTCTCAGCTCGTCCAGACCAATATCTCGAAAAAGCTCGGAGACTAGTACTGAATGCTATTAACTCTTGCTACTCTTCATGGAATAACCCAAATATAGTAGATAAATATAGTTAGCACAATCCAGAGGGAAGGTCATTCTATTTTTAGCAGCGCCCGAATCAGCTCTCTGTTCTGGAATCGACTGTTCCCTTGTCCTCTGCGATGTCTGTCTTTTCTGCGACCCTTTTTGAGTACCCACTGGTGGCCCTTCAGTGAAGGGGAACGATTCTCTAAATACAAGCCCCTCCCGCCTGTTGCTTTTCCTTCTTTAACTCACTTGCCAGTGGGCCGTTTGTGTCTGTGCTTAACGACAGGCGGCCTTTTGCTTTGTACTCTCTTATTTTGGGTGGCTTTCTTTTTCTGTCTTTCATTTCTCGATTTTCTTCCCCTCTGGGAGGGTGTTTTTCGTGGTTTTTCTGCAGCATGGGCTTTTTAACGATAACATTTCAGGTGAGTTGGCCACTTCATAAGACAGCTGCGCTACTCACGGGTGCTAATACAGGACGCAGGAAATGGAAACGATGAGGATTTTGAAGCAATAGCAACACAGGAGGTAAGCACCAAACCATGGTATGACAGCATAATAGGACTGACGAACAGGTCATCTCTAACGTGCACAATGCCATGCAATTACTCAGCAGGCTGGGTACGACCAGAGCTACGAAGTTGCTCGACAAAGTCAAAGAAGACGGACCAACCCCTCCCTCTTTAATCTTTCGAAGTCACGATGATTTAGTATTCCCCCTCAAAGCAGTGTCGCCGTTGCCACACTCTCAGAACACAAGCCATAATGACAGTTCAACGGTTGATGGCCTATGTGCCACAGAGGGGGGCCGAGCGTTGGGTAATTACCTACTCTTTTGTTATGCAGGCTGCCAATTCCTACTTGGCTGTCTATGCCACCGACTCGGATGCCTGTATATTTCTAGATATTGACAATGAAATCTCAACTATGCCGGCAAATGACGGGCCTGAGAATGATTTGGATCTACCAGACTCTGGCGATCTCGCTTCATGGGCTGATTCAATAATTGACTGGGATAACATTTTTCCCAATTATGATTTGCAACCGGATGACGGGCTCGCTCCGCCCTCGGGGACACTGCAGAAGGAGCAGATGATCATCCCTCATCTGTCCCATTAGCAAGAAATGCCGTCGAACAAGAATTAACTGACTCGCCGAAACCGGTCGCGTGTACTGACCAAGGAGATTCCTTTCCTAATCCATCAGAGTGCCTTTTGACTGGAGACGCGGAATCGGATACTGATGGTGATGGTGGCATAGGCCTTCTCACACAGCCATCCGATTCGAAACCAGAACCATTCAAGGTGAGCAAAACCAGAAGACCACGCAAAAGACTCGGCAATGGAAGCCGTTAAAAAGGGACAGTGGCTGGGTGAAGAACCGGTCCACAAGGTTGGCCAAGATGAAGTAGAGGACCTTGCGTCATCTCTAATGCGGAATACCTTGGGAGGACACTACCTGACGAGGATCTTCAACAGGTCCGGCAAGTCAGCGAAGGGCTCATTGACGATGATTTACCCGTTTTTGAGTTTTTGCAAAATAACCTCAGGTTGATATGGAGCTAATCCGGTCTCATGAAAGGCCTTGCGGATGACGTTTCCACGGAACGTTTTCTCACGTATAGATGACAAGGCACAGAGGAAATCAAGCCGTGCAGACTCCCTGCATCCTGTACATACGAACGTGGTTTTGTACATTCTATTGACTTTCCAACTTTCCCATCCCCCTTTCCCCCTCCCCTCTTTATAAGGGCACTCTGCTGACCGGGGCCTAGAGCCTGCGGAGCCCATGCGCCAGTGGGACCCCCGTGGGCTCATCGACCCCATCTACGAGGGTAAACGCCGTCAGCGCGCTGTGGCAAAGAAAGCAGAGGATCTGAAGGCCAAGCTGCTGGAGAAGCTAGACAGGATTGCGAACATGAACGACGGGGTGGCCAACACGATTCGGGAGCTCAAGGGGGAGTTAGAGAAGGATCACAAAGACCTACACCGGTTGATCCTCAACCTCAACCTGCACTGGAGCAGTATCGAGGACGATATTGGGCGTGAGTATGGATATGATGATCCTACCGATGATCAGCTCAAGATTCTTAGCTTGGCCTACACCGATGCTGTGGAGGAGTGGGATCGCGAGTACTGAAGCTTGGTGATCCGAAGAGGAGCAATCCCATGGCAA